CGATCGACCAGCGCAGTTTCCATTTCAGTCGTGCCAGCAACCACAAGGATGCCAACAATGTCGGTTCACATTCAAATTAACATTGAGAAGGAACCATAGCAGGCGCAGGAACTCAAGGTTGAAGCCAACTACTGGCCTGAGCCAGGCCAACCTTGAACGATCTCCGCTGCCGGAGAGGAGGGATCGTCCAAGATCGAACTATCCACGCGGTATGTCCGTGTTCCTCTAGAGGTACCTGGTCGTGAGGCTGACCGTGCAGCACGGGCCCGACCGTCATGTGGTAGATCGCCGAGCGCGTTCCACTACTCGCAAAGTGCCTACTCGCAAACGTCCTGAAAATCATACGTCTGCCTTTGTGAGATATATCGTAAATCCCCTGCGGCGGATCCAGGCCATTTGCGAATAACTTCTTTGCGAGTAATGGAACGCGCTTGTCGAGTAGAGGGACGGTAGCACTTGCGTTGCCCCGTCAGGGAAGCCTGCCGCTCGTGCCGCGGCCAACACGTCTTGCCGCGACACCGGCCGGGAAGGCCGCCGTGGAGCGTAATGCCGAACAGGGCAACCGCCGTGCCGTCCTGCTGCAAATTAGCGACGCTGCTGTCGCGACAGTACCCATCGGTCGTTGAAAGTCGGTAATTTGGGGTTCCCATCTTCCAGTCTACTCAAGGCGCATTCCTACTTCAATGATCGAGTGGCTTCCCCTCCTCCCTCCTGTTCACGGGGCGGGCGGAGATCCGGTCTACTTCCAACCAACGCCCTCCTACTTCATGTTTCTACCTACTTATTCCGACCGATGGGTACTTGTTGGTTGTTGCACGAGCGGCAGGCTTCCCCGACGGAGCAATGCAAGTTGTTTCGTCCCTCTACCACGTGACGGTCGGGGTGCTTCTATGTTGCACGGGCAGCTTCACGACCAGGTGCTCCTGGAGGCTGGTATTCGACAAGGGTGTCCCCTGTCGCCGCTGCTCTTCGTTTTGGGTTCGGGCGGCTCGCTGCGAATTCTGGGGCTCAGAGCGCCGACGTCAACGACCAGGGCGTTTGCGGATGACACAGCCATGGTGATGCGCTCGTTGCGACGGAAGTACCAAATCGTGTTTTCGACCTTCCGTACTTTCGAACTTGTCTCACATTTGGTTTTCAATTTTGACAACATTGTGGTACCATCTTGTGGGAGGCCGACATTGGCAGTTTCCAAACAATTACCTGCGCGAACCCCGAGACCGTGCATAACACATGGGCTAGCAGCGGGGAGAGGTAGTACATTGGCCATGTCAAACAAAACTAGACATGGTCAAAACCAGAGGCGATGGAGTGAGCTCGGCTTGAATCTGATTTTGCTTGCCTGCCACACGTGTGTGCGACCTACGCTTCTATTCGTCAAAAACGAACGCCTTCCGGTCCGACGGGTGGCTCTGGGGCCTGGGGCTTGGTGTTGCCGTGCTGATCTTCACCCTGGGGACGAGCTCTCGCTGGCCGCTCATCTTCGGCCTCTTGGGGCTTCTTGGCGATGATGCGTGCGCGCTCCTGGGAATCGAGAGGGGACTGCGGCGTGGACTGGGTCGGGATGGCTGCAGACTTCGTGGCGGCACGGATTAACACTGACCGTCTGGTTCGCGCTGCGCGGTGGCACAGATGGCTCGGCTCCCACATCCCCACGGTTGTTCTTGCGGTAGTCGCGAAGCAGGCTCGCGCCGGTATTTAGTTATATTCAGGCAGAACGCGCGGCCAGCAGAAATATCAGGCTGGGGTCACTTGCGGAGGCGGGCGACTGGACATTCAAACAACACGCAGACCAGACATGGTTCGTGGCCCGTCTCTTGTCGCGGAGTGGGCTTCGGCATGGAGTGGAGTCACCGCGCGAGGTTGGCGAGATGGGGGTTGGCAGAATGGTTGGGCCGCGCGGACCACATGGTGGCGCAACATTTACGGATGCTTCGTATGTTGGTACCTCCAATACCGACCACTACGCTGTTTAGCTTGGTTTGGGCCTTTGTCTTGTTATTCGTTCCTTTGTTCGTTGTTTTTTTGTTTCTTTGATCGTTTTCGCTTTAAGCGCCTCGTGTCGTTTTCCGTTTCGTTTGGCAACGGTTCGTTTCAAACGTTTGTTTTAGACGTTGGTTTTCGTTTCGTGTTTCGTTTTGAATGCTGTATCGTTTTAGACATCGTTGTGGTCGGTCTTCGGATAAGTACGATCTTCAACCATTGGGCGACTGACTGGAAAGTGCGGTCGCTGCGGCGTGGGCGCCAGTCTTGCGTGCCCGCCTGCTCGTGCGTGGCGGACGGTTCGGTGGAGCACAAGATTCACTGCGCCGTGGGCTTACTAGTTCGAAACATATCCATATCCTTCTGTTTGGGCTCATTTTACGTCGATTCGGAGCAGAAACAGGTGCCCATACCGCTATACTTCCCTCGCTTTCGCCTTTTTGGGCCTCCTGGGAGGCCCTCGTCACCACCGCTATCCGGTCAGACTGCACCCAGAAGTCCAGGGAATCGCGGTATCGGTTCTTCTTGGCTCCCCCATCGATGCCAATCTTAAGGATTCCCTCAGTTTCTGGGGGCGCATCCCTAAGATTGTCATCGCTTTTGGCTTGCCCATCTTAGGGATAGGGACAAGTTCGAGTTTGATTCTGGGCCGCGAGTGATCGCGGGGTCAAATATGCAGGGGCGATTCGGGACGGCGATGGCTCGCGTCGGGCTTGCCAGTACGATGACAGATGTTCGATGACAGCGGTAGGCCATTCAAATTTTTCTGTGCTGTGCAGTGAACAAACAACTTTCGACTGCGGGATTCGCTTTTCGACCAAATTTGAATACGCGTGCTGGCGTGCGCCGCCATGCGAGAGGGGCGCGGTTGGCCATAGAGTGTGTTGTTTCGCTGATACGTGGACGCCGGAGGCCCAACGACTTACGGACTACATTGCGCTTTCAGGTTAGGGCCTTGCTTTCGGCGCGTCCTCGCCCCTCGCGGGAGCCCGCGAAAGCTGGCGGAAGTGAAACGGTGGCGGGTCCTCCAGCGGAAGCCAGCGGAAGTAAAGATCCGCATTCAAGCAATGCAGTTGTTGTTGCTTTAGGGGGGGTCAGGGCTTCTTCCTGGAGCCTGGACACACACGTCTGGCACCAAAAGTGATTGGATTCAATCACATTCAATCGCAATGTTGGGGCAGTTGGATACTAGCTGCTAGAGAGACGAGAGATCTGTTTGGTTGGGCCTTCTTAATTCGAAGCGCCTGGAGGCTCCCACAAGATGCCTTCGCAGCTTTTTATCCTATGAAGGAATCTATACACCACCGCCGTGCCTGGTCAGGGCCATCCTGGGCCCTAGGATGGTGTATAGACCCTCCTGGCCTGGGCCAGGTGGCCGTATACACCATGCTAGGGCCCAGGCTGGCCCTGGCCACCCACGGTGGTGGTGTATAGATGCCTTCTGTGCATTTGAAGCCTCAGGGCTCTTCCAAGAAGGCCCTGACGTTCGAAGAAGCCCCTCGCCTTCTCAGAAGGCCACCCTCCTCGTGCTACCTCCCTGTGCGCGCCGCCAAAGGAAAAGGAAAAGGAGGAGGAGGAGGAGGAGGAAAAGGAAGAGGAAGACAAGTATACATATTCACCTCCTCGTTCCTCCGCTTTCCCCCCCTCGCGAAAAGGAGGCAAACAATCATAGGAGGAGGGGGAGGGAGGAGGAAGGGGGCGGACGTGTATAATTGTTAGATGGTTCAATTCCCATTTCGCATCCCTTCTTCTTGAGTTGCTAGATGCTGACCGCTGGAGTCGAAAAAGGCAACAACCGCATGAACCTAAACCTTCAGAGGTCCGCGCGGATTTCCTGGGCCGGCGCTGTGCGTCACTGACGCGCAGAGCGCGCCCGTTGGCGGCGCCAGAGGCACTTCCAGGGGGGGCTCATCGTTGACCTAAGATATACGCGCGGATCTCAAACAGTTTACGTTTATGCAGTTCTCTTTGTTTCTCCGGCAGGAAGGTGAGGGAGGAGGACTTGTGCAATTTTGAAATGTTCGACTCCTGCTTCGCAAGCCCCTGGGCTCTCTTACGGTCTTGAAGGTTTGCTTCGAGTGTCGCGGCGTCGGTTCTGGCCCTCCGTGCCTCTGCGCGACACGCTAACATTGAGTCGGGCATGCCCCCCCACAGGGGGAAACTCCAAAACTAGTTCAAACAATAGTCTGGGGACGATGTTTCGATTCTTTCTTGAATCTGTTTGGGTATTGCTTGACTCTTCTTTATTTGTCCTCCAAAATCCGCCTGTAGGGGGACATGCCCGACCTGACGCTAACCAGGTCCCAGTCCCTCAGCATCAACGTTCGCAGCTTTCCCCAGCCTCCCGCCCCGCGAAGCGGAGCGCCACGCCACCAGCCTGCAAGGCACAGTGTGTCGCAGGGGCTGCCGCCGCGACACGCCGAGCGACAGTTCCCGACCGTAGGCGCTGGCCGTTTCCAGGGGCAACGTCAGGGTTAAGTCGGGCACGTTCCTCTACAGGAGGAATCTGCACACATTCTAGACAGATAGCCCGGGGACGAGTTTTTACACTATGTTTTAGCATCTTGGGGGCATTTTTGGAGGACTATTTGTTACTTGTCGTCCAACATCCGCCTGTAGGGGGACACGCCCGACCTAACGTTGGGGGGGGAATGGGCTCGAGGGGGGCACGCATCGACCCCCGATCCCCCACGGATCGCCGCTGGTGGCCCGCTGGCCCACCCTGCCCACGTGCGGCTCCACCACCGAGAGCACATCGCGCAGATCTGTCGGCGACGTATCGCCGACTCCAGGTCGATGCTTCCTCCGAGCCAGGCCTCGCCCGGGCGTTCCCCCTCGGTGCTGGCCGTTGGACGGACGGCTGCTGGGCCCAAGAGCGCTGCACGTCTGTCCGCCTCGCCGAGCCGGGAGGCTCACGCCGCTCCTGGGCGGCCAGGATCGATGTGCGTGACCGCTTGGCCGGCTGGCGCTCTCCGAGAGGCTCCTTCGCACAGCAGGCCCCCCTCCCCCCCCTCCAGGCGCCGCGGTGCCCGCGCGGCCCGCCTGGCAGGCCGGGCCGCTCACCACCGCCCGCCCGCGCCCCGCCCCCACGCGTCCGCCGCCGTCCTCCCCTGCGTCTCTCTCTCTCTCTCTCTCTCTGGCGTGTGTGTGTGTGTGTGTGTGCGCGTGCGTGTGTGTGTGTGTGTGTGTGTGTGCGTGTGCGTGTGTGCGTGTGTGTGCGTGTGTGTGCGTCTCTCTCTATAGCGTGTGTGTGTGTGTGTGCACACGCTTGCAGATGTTTGTGTGTGTAGCTGTGTACATCCGAGGGGTGCACCTCCCGAAGTGCTTCGCGCTCCGAGGGCGCTCCGGCCGCCCGTCCGCGGCACCCCTGGCCTGCCTGGCCTTCCCACGTGGTGCCCGACCCGCGCTGCAGCAGCCCTGCCGTGGCCACGACCGCGATCGGGATCCGGGCGCCTCCTATCAGACTCGCGTGTACATCAGGGTTGAGCAGGGTCGAGGGTCAGGGAGCGCCTTCCTCTGCAGGGCCACCAACAAAAAGGACGTCAAGATGGTCGAGCGCTGGTTGTGGCACGGTTGTGGTGCACCAGCTTCAGCTTGACCGAGCAGGTCGGTTGCGCCCCGTGAATTCCTTTCAGGGTCTTCTGCAGACCCGACCCCCCAGCCCTACTCAACATCAGAGTGACGGCGCTGCCCCCACCTTGGGCAGCCTCGAATGGCCGCGCACCGGTGGGTACTCGGGCCTCGTCCCGCTCTTCTCTCCTCCGCGGCCGCCTCTCTCCTTCCCCTGGCTTGCTCTGTGTGGCGGTAGGCCCGGCGCGGCCCGACGGCTGCCAGAGCGCGACGTGCGCTCCTCCCCGATGGGAACATGGAGGTTCGAGCAACTAATTCCCAAAACTTGGCATCGCTCGGACATGTGCATGTTTTTCGCGGCGAGGACCATCGAGGAACATGCTGGGCCATCCTGCGAACAAGCGCTGCCGGCGGTGGAAGAGCAGTTGACGCCGGGCTTTACGTTGCGCCTGCTGCCGCACTCGCTGAGCCCTCCCTTGTGCTGCGGCTACGACAAGCATGGGGAGCTCTCCGCAGCGGTTGTCGCGCGCGTGGAGGACTTGGTCTTGGGATTTCGCCCAAGCGCCCGCAGCTGTGCGACGGGCTCCACGAGCGGCGAGACGAAAGTGGCGCGCTGCGCTTGCGCCAGGCAGAGTGCGCGAACGCCATCGAGGGCACCCCGCGCAGCAAGGAGCGCGAGACGGAATTGATGTCGGATGCGACGCGGAGTGAGTTCTCGGATAACCGCTCCGCTCTAGGAGCGGAGCGATCGCACCCAGGCTTCGCAGCGACAGTCGCCGCAGCCAGCCCATTGCGCTGTCGCGACGCCGGGCTAGAGTTCTCAGTGCTGCACGGACTGATGCGCCCCGTCTCTTCCCGCTGTGCCAGTCGGGCCAACGCCGGCGAACAGCCAGGAGGGATGTTTCCGCAGCTACTCTCGAAGTTAGTGAGCGGCAAGGACACATATCCCAATATCAAATGCCCAGCGGGCCCTGGCACTTTCCTAGCCGAGGTCAAGCTTCTTAGAGGAGGACGAGCTCGATTCTGTATAGTAGACTTGAGGTCTGGCACCGTCGAGCGAGTGCGCTGGTTTACGTTGGCATCCGAGGCCACTTCTGCAATGAGCGCCTTGGGTTGTGCCTGCATTGCTCCCTGTGTCTTTGCTGCGCTGGAAGTGCCGATTGGGTGGGGGAAATTCCGCCAACGTCTCCGCCCCTCGCACGGCTCGCCGACTGCGCGCTAGCCTGTGTGACATGATGCACAAGTACGGCTACTCACAGTTCCCTTACGAGCGTCGGCTACTGTTGGACCTGGTGGGCGTGAGAAAGTCTCTGGAGGAGGAGGAGGTCAGCGAGGCGTTCGTGGCGGATGATCAGCGCGCGCAGACCAGCTCGGCGTCCAGTTCTCCAAGCGGTCAGGCGGGGGTGCGATCAGGGTCGTGTTGCGTGATATTTGTTTAGCGTTGCAGCATCATGAGCCGACCGAGCATGTCAGAGAGCTCGAAGCTCAGATGACAAGCTCCGGCTCTGCTGTCAAGCGCGTGCGGCTCCTGGTCTCATAGTTTTGGCGAGCGTGCGATGATCACGCTACTCTGTGGTGTATGGTGGCTAGATGTACAGAGCAGGAGATGTTTGCTGGACTGCGCAATCATGCTGTTAAGTGCTGCTATTTACGCAGCTGCATAGTCAACAACCGAGCAGCACTGTATAGTAGGAGTACGTGCGTGCATCGAACGTGTGAAGTATGATGGGTGCGTGCCGCAGAAGCCATATGCTTCCATATGTGCTCGAAGCCTTCCTAGGCCCTCGAGCTTGGGCGTATCGGTAGAAACCCACTCGCTCCGCTTACTCAGAAGAGTCGCGCATGTATTTGCTGAGGCATATCATAAGTTTCTGCCATACCTTCACGGTAAGCTTCGCGCACAGACCCTTCACGCAAACCGTGAGTCGAGGGGGAGGCGTGGGCGAATTGGGGCCCCCAGCGCGGATGCCCAGGGAAATGAGCAGAGGACGAAAAGGAGCAGGAGGGGGAGGAGGGAGGAGGCCGGGAGGCGGGCATGGGAGGCGAGAGGGGGGCACCCGCGCGCAGGCGCCGGCGAGCCGAGGCCCGCTCGGCCCGCGCGCTCCGCGGCCCATGGCGGGCCTCGCGCCCCGCCCCGCCGCGCCGAGCCGCGCGCCCGCCGCGCCGCGCACGGCGCGCGGCTCGCCGCGCCCGGCGGGGCCCGTCGCCGCCGCCGGCGCGGCGGCGCCGGCCGCGGCGGCGCCAGCCGCGGGGCTCGCGGCGTGCTGGCTGGCGCGCGGCGCGGGCCGCGGCGTCCACGCGCGCAGGCGCGGGCGGGCGTCGGGAGGGGCCTCCGAAGTTCTGGGGCGGCGAGGGTGGTCAATGAATGGCCCAGGGAAAAGCGATACCCCACGGTCGTTAGAAGTAGGCAATTGTTTGGATTCCAAGGTTCCAATCTACGTTAAGCGCCGTCCTACTTCAATGAGCGAGTGCCTTCACCTTTTCCGTCCTCTTTTGGGAGCGGGCGGAACCCAGTGTACTTTCAACGCCTTCCTACTTCATGGTTCTTCTCCAAATCCCCTATTAATCGTCCCCTGGGTCCGGGTTTTTAAGGCGCCTTTTTTGTATTTGGGGGGGGTCCGGTTCATTAGCGATTGAGGCTTAAGGGGGTCCCGTTTATTAAGACGCCCCGTCGAAGAGGGGGGTCCGGAATATTAGGTCGCATTTCGAGGGAGGTCTGGTTTTTTAAGGGGGGGTCGATTCAGAAAGGATTTAAGTGTACCTACTTCTTCCGACCGATGGGTATCCAGGAGCGCCGATGGTCCGTGCCGTCGGCGAGGTTCCATGCGAGTGCGTGTGCTGCCCGCTCCTGGGCTGCTCGCCCTCATCGTCGCTTCCGACAAAAAGGGTTTGAGCAGATGGGGGGTCGGAGGGTCGCCCCGCATCGGTGATGCATCGAGGATGCGGCTCGATGTGAAGACAGAGCTTCTCCACGCCGATGTCGCCGATGCACCAACGGCGTCGACGATGTATCGTGGATGTGTCGCCGATGCGGTGGCGATGCGGTGCGATCTTCCGACCCCATCTACTCGGAGCCCATGCAGGGTGCCTCCAGGAAGGCGCAGGCGATTTTTCTCCCCAGGTGCCGAGCTCCCCCCCCCCAAAAGTGGCCTCCCAGAGCGGAGGGGAAACTCGGGGACGCACCCCTGGGGAGCTTTCTGGGCGCACCCTGTCGAGGATGGGCGCCCCCCATCGTATGTCCCCGAGTTGAGCCCCGCATCCTGCGCCCAATCGAAAACACAACACATCTTGGGATTGGGGTCGTCATGCCCCTCGTCAGGAAAGGGCGCACAGGTCTCCGACGATATGATTTTGGGACACCCGTCGGCCCTGCGTGATTTCGGCCTCCGGTGGCCACTGTCCGGCCCTGGGGCCATCCACCACGGATCGGGGACGAGGAATTGCCCGGGAGAAAGCGGTCGGGAGGTCCTGGGGGCGTGGTTGAACAAGTCATCGCTCGGCTGGCAGCGCCTTCCCGGGTGTGGCGCGAGGGGAAGCGGCCTCTTGAGGAGGCAGGGAGGACTTCTCGGAGGGCAGGGGCCTCGTTGGAGGCCCGCCCGGCTTTCAAGAAGCCTCCCAAGAAGCCCCCGGGCAGTTCTGGGGAGGTTCCTTAAATCACAGAGCGCGTTCCACTACTCGCAAAGTGCCTGCTCGCAAACGTCAGAAACAAACAAACTTGTCTTCTATACGTACTTTATCGTTCATCCCCCGCGGCTCCTACACGTAGAGGGTCGTAAATCCTTGTGGTGGGTCCAGGCCATTTGCGAGTAGTTACTTTGCGAATCGTGGAGCGCGCTCGTCTATCAAACGCAGGGCGGGTTTCTGGGGAGGTCTCTTAAAGAGGTATCTTAACAGTTTAGGCGGGCTTCTGAAGAGGCCGCTGCCTTCTACGAAGCCCCCCTGCTTTCTCAGAAAGCTGTTCCCAGAGTTTTTTATGTTTGGGCGATCGCCAGCGTTACCGGGGGGGTGGGTATCAGTAAAGTCATGTTTCGCACTGCTGGGAATGCCCAGGGATAGCCAAAGACAGCTCGGATCGCAGATACTTATAGGGATCTGTTACGGCAACGCGCGCATACCTGAAGGGACCTGCTACGGCAGAGCACATCCCTGCTCGTTCTCTTCCTCCTTCTCATCCTCCTCCGCGCTCCTCCCGTATCCCTCATTCTCCTTCCCCCCAACTTTGTCGTGGCCAGCTTGGGCGAGAGTTGGATTCACATGTGGCTGCATGTCTTTCCAGGGTTCGGCCCTCGAGAGGCCCAGTACGCCAGCCATCCGCACGTGTATCCAGCAATTGGCCTCCGCATGTTCCGCGTGTGAGTCCAACCGCGTGTGTTTCCAGCCTCCTGGATTGATTGAGACACCCAGCTTGGGATTCTCGATCGTATTTCGATCATTCAGGAAAAGATGCGTTGCGTTGTTGGTAAGGTTGAGTTGGGAGTG